AAATAAAATAAAATAAAATAAAATAAAATGAGTCATACTTGCATGACTCTATTCCTGATACCATATAAATACTATCTAAGCTCATATCCTTTCAAAACACTGACCAGGGACACCTCTAATTAAAAACTAAGTATCACACCATGGCGAACCTGAAATAGAAAGCACTCTGGTATTAGAGACACAAGGCTCTAGTTCTGGGAAAGCTTCAGTATATGAAGATTTCCTTCTGAATGCTTTCTAACCAAAATACGGGCATATCAGCTTGATAATAATATTTGTTTGATATTTACATTCTGGGGTAAATACTTAATACACAGTAAACAGGATTCATTTTAAATTAAAACAAATGGGTGCATTTGTCTACAGGTGTAGCAGATGTCTTAAAGATCATTCTAAAACAGAGACCTAGTACCTGGTCAGCATTCTTTAGGCTCCGTGGATTACAGGGATACGACCTTCACTTACTATAACGGTAGTATAGTCATATACATGTGGACACTAAACTGATATGTCTAAGCCTCAAACAATTCCACCATCGTGTCTCTCCCAAGTTACTCCAAGAGACAGAATGAAAACTAAAAATCCTAAAACAGACAATAGAATTCATTACTTATGGGAAGTCTTGTAAAGACAGACTAGGGATATTTCAGTTGAATGAGGAAACTAACAAGATGATGCATAGAACAATGCAAAATGATGAATACAGACAAAACGCAGCTCAGAACTATTTGCTGTTTGTGCCAGGGACATGCTATTTCTAAATTCTTTACTCATTTGCTGATTTATTTTTAAGACACGAATTTGCAAATGTTTGGAGAGTAAGAGAGATCTGAAGCAAACCAATGTATTTAATCTAGGTGCACAAGAAAGAATTAAAAAAATTGTATAGTCATTACTTTGTGAATATCTACACTACACCTTCATATAGCAAGAGAAACAATGTGTTTCTCTCATATTTTCTATAAAGTTGTTTTAATCTCCCTTTTAACAGTTTTTAGAAGACCTATACTCTGGAATGGACTACAAGAACTTGTATGCATAGGCAAGAACTTTTTCAAATACTTTAGAGCATTTTTTGTCCACATCACACACATAAAAAAAAATTATCACAAAAATCTCTGAGAAGTACTCTTCAAAATATAATAAGACAAACTAATATTTTTAAACGTGTATCAAAACAGGAGAATATTACAGTATACTGAAATAGTGCGGGAAAGATGAAAGATGTTTTAAACTTACCCTATTCACGCTGCTGTTTCTTAAAATAATCTGAATAAGATTTTTCTTAAACTCTTCCAGCTTCTTGAAACACTTCTTCAAAACATGATTAGATAATCTAGTATCAGTTATTAAACTGATCAAAACACAAACCGCTTCAGTAAGAAAATTCGAAACTGGAAATTTAGGACTCTTGTAAAAAACAGTCAGTCCATCGAGCAACTGAGACACTGAATTGCACACAGTGAAAGAATCATTCTCAAGCTCTGTGAAGTCTGCTTGAAGAATTCCTCCTTCTGACAGTTTTCTTATTTCAAGCAGATTTTGCAAAAACTGCACTGGAGCTGTCAGAGGTTCCTCCTTGCTAGAACAGCAAAGATTCAATGGAGGAGCTCTTTCCAACCAACATTTAGAAGTGTTGGCATTACGCTCAGATAGGTGAAAATCAGAAGCTATGCCTAAAGAATCGAATGCATAGTCATTAGAGACATCACATCCAGAGTCTTCTAGCTGGCTTGAGAAACTCATGGGGTTTACACATTCCTGATCCAGAAGAGTCTCAGTAGAGGCATCTGGTTTTCCTGAAACACAAATGTGAAAGTTACGTTTGTGGTAATACTTAAATCATGCTTATGAAAAGTGTCGTATATCCTTTCTCCTTTTATTTCCACGCAAAAATCACATAATACATATGTATGTTTGCTCCCCAAGAACTTCCCATGGCTGGAATTCAGTTGTGGAAAAAGGTGACATTTTTTAAATTATCATCACTTTCAGAAGGTAGTGTTTATTTGCCAACAAGATGTTTTATGCTTATAGTAACATAAACAGTAATTTTGAGTTTAAAATTCCTGATGGTTTTAAGTTTTCACCTATGTAATTTAAGTGGACATCACATGAACAATTTAAGTGGACATTTTACTCCCATTGATTCCCAGGGAAGGAAATGCATGTAGATTTCTGGCCCCCCAAACATTTTCACTACTTTTATTCTCAATACCTCAGACTGCTTTTAAAAGACAGTGAAGGTCTGTTACTATCACTACATCAAATAAGATCTCCTTTACATGTACGCTTTCTCCTCAGGTCAGGTAAGGAGTTCTAACAAAGCCAAAGTTGAACCAAATATTACACTTGAGTTTTTTATTATTTAACAAAGAAAAACATTCAGAATCAAAAATTTCTCCAGTCACCACCTATCTCACACCGTCTTCTTTAAAGACACATAAACTACATTACAGAATGTATGCACTGCATTCACACTACTACATTATTTTCGTACACCATTGTAGAATCTCTTTCATCCTATTTCACACATTAGGCACACTTAAGTCAGTGCCTCTGGGCACAAACTCAGTACTAGGTGACAACAGACTCCCTCTAAGCTACACACTACCTACACCAAAAGATTACAGTCAAAACAAGCAAGAGACATTAGAGCAGTGAAGTGGAAGACCAATACACGTAAACATCCCAGTGCCACAAGGCAAGGCTAGAACCCACAAACTGCTTCTCTGCTCACTCTTAAAAAACATGCATATACTGTTCATATTTTCCACAAGGATCCAAAGCAATACCATACCCCTCTGTGTTTGTATTCTTAAAGGAATAAAGAGATTTTATAGATGGTTTGGCCTGACGAGAAATAAATGTTATATTTCATGGCAAGTTAAAACCAGCATTTTTAGCACAGAAAACATCACTAGGCAGCACTCTACAGTATTCTGCCTACTAACAAAACACTACTCAAAAAAGTTTACACAAATTGAATTACATATACAGTTTCAAATTGAATTGTGATCATTACTTCAGTCTCTGAAAATGTACCAGATCATCCAATGAGGGTACTACTACTGAGATCAAAACTGGAAATGTGGTTTATTTATTTATTATCAAGTTTCATGCTTTTAACATTCAGATGTACTCAAAAGTGAACAGGATTGGTACCAACTGACTCACAATGAAAGGGCTAACTGTAGGG